GTAATAGATAATGTAATTCTGCTATCATAATGGTCCCCACAGACTATTTCTTCCCAAACCTATATTTCACTATGTTTTTGGTATTCACTTATTAGAATATGCTAGGAGATTTAACTTTCCACTAAACCTACCACAATGAATTTTAGGAAAAGGGGTGACCATCATGTAACTCTCAGTGACCCCAACAAGTTAAAAGCCATGTGCTATTTGTAGAAGCCATGTGCTATTTCATCTCAGAACACAGAAAAAGACACTGCACACTGCATTCTGCCATATGCTCAGTCGGGAAAGTAGAAGACCAGGACTGACATTAGAAGGATTTTTTTTGCCTCAGTAAACAGTGCAGGAAATGGCCTAAGAGAATTATTTCTTAAAAGTCCAAAGGAGAAAAAAGATATTGTACTCTGTAAGAAGCCAAGGTCAAAAGCCTGTGCAATGGATCCCATCAGCATGCAATAATTTGTATTTTACAGTTTATATCCCTTCTGCAGTATTAAGTATTTAAGTATTTTCCTCTTAAAATACAATGCTCTGATCTGGGGACCAAAAGTCTCTTTCTGTCCACCTCTCTGTTCATTTTCTTTTTTTTTTTTTAAGAGACAGGGTCATTCTGTCACCCAGGCAGGAGTGCAGTGGTATGATCATAGCTCACTGTAACCTCAAACTCCAAGGCTCAAGTGATCCTCCCATCTCAGCCTTCCCAGTAGCTGGGACTACAGGTGTACGCCACCCCACCCAGCTAATTTTTTATTTTTTTGTAGAGACAGGGTCTCGCTAAGTTGCCCAGGCTGGTCTCAAACTCCTGGCCTCAAGTGATCCTCCCACCTCAGCCTCCCTGAGTGTTGGGATTACAGGCGTGAGCCACTACGCCTGGCCTGTTCATTCTTTCTTGTTTCAGTTACTAATCTTATTCCTCTCTACCTTAACTGTAAAGAAAGCAAAGTTATCTTCTCATGATCAAATGATTAAGGGGCATATATAAGGATGAATTATACATAAAAATTCATGTAAATAATTTATGTTAAAATATTTAAGTTAAAAATTTTTATAGAAAAATTTCATTCCTATGGAAAGGCAGAATTGAAAATCAACAGTGTTTTTACATATATACATACATATATAAATTCACAGAAAGCATTTTTTAAGTAGACATTCTGGTCTTTATATATCATTTATATTTTCTAAATCTGAGAATCTATAGTAGATAATAGTATGAAAATAAAAAGTAGTTTGATTCTAATAAAACTGGATAAGAACGAAGAAGCAACATGATCCACTACAGATGTCAATACAGTCCTAAGAATAGGAACTGGCTGGCCAGTCCTTATATTAATACATTCTTGGAGAATACAAAATTTAAGAATGAAAACATTAAGACATTCTTGCCTTTCAAATTAATTTTAGCTTATAAATACCATGTGCTTAATCTTAGACCCGCTAACACGAACATCACATGATGTAGGAAGTTTTAGTTAATCTTCTACTCTGCATTCTAGCAAGGATACCTGCAAAAAAACAAGACCTTGTTCTCTAGACATTTATTTGCTCCTGTTGGTACTTGTTCAATATATATCTAGTCCAGAAAGATGATCAGAGATTTACCACAGACAATATGCTCAGAATAAGAACTTAAGGCTTTGAATATAATCAGAAAAAACAAGCAACCACCCTGTTTCCACAAAGTCGGGATAAGAAAAACAGAATTATGAACTCACAGAAGTATTTTGATAGGTTTTTGATAGGTTTTTAGAAGGCATCAGAGAATCTTTAACAACCCTGCAGTACCATGAAGTGTACAATTTTCTTTATGCATTTATGACTAGCACAAGTGCTCTTTTTAAAAATCCAAATGTATATGGGGACAGAATACATTTAAATCAGTTCCTATGAAAAGTTTGGTAATTTAAAAAAATTAGTATTTTTATTTTTTTAAAAATTGGGATAGGTCACCCAGTGAATTAGATAAATATACCAACATGTATGTTGAATTAAACTTCATGGAAAACAAAATGTAGCTTGATAAAGTTGTACAGATGTGCTTTAATTGTTTCGCTATCCATTCCCTTTGTGAAAGTAAAAATGCTTTTGATATTTGAATCCAAGGAATGATGCCCCCTACCCACTTCCCTTTCCTTGTTCTCAGCAATCTGAATTACAGTGTCATATCTAGGAAGTTAATAACTCTCTATATCCTTGTGGCTAGGGGCCTTCATATTAAATTTTCAGTACAAAACCATACCCTGAAGAGTTTTATTGCTTGCATACATGATGGCATTGTAGATGCTGTTGTTATAAAAGTGGCTGCTGGTGGTTTTCATTAAGCCCCACTTAAAACCAAGATAAAAGTCTGCACTGCATTTTATACTTAACACACCAACTGGTAGACTTTCAACAAAAGCAAAATTTAATTTTAAAAACTGGAATGTTTTGTAATGAATAGCAATTTTGTCAAACAAAGTATTTTTTAAATTTGAAGGAAGGGCACTTTAAAGAAAAGATGACTTGGAAAGCACCAAATGAGAGAAAATAAAGAATTAAAACTTTCACAGAATGTTGGTTTTAATAGGAAAGCAACCAATGAGGTTTGTTTAGGTTCAATTTGTCATGACTGCTCAGGTGTCTCAAAGGAAAAGACATTGATTATTCTCATAACCGATCACACTTTGAGGTCTTTTAGTTGAGCTGTTTAATAAATGCTAAGACTATTCCTTTACCTTTCTTGAAGTAAAAGCATTAATGAATCTTTAATAAGAGAAACCGGTAAGGCTGTTTCATTGCTTCTCTTTGTGTTTAGCTGAGGGTGGGGTGGAAAGTGAAGATGGTGACTGGATAAATGGACGTTCTCTTCTAGCACGAATGTTTCTCATTTAAAACAATGAAAGATAATGACTAAGAGCATGATAATATTCTCTTTACATGAATATTCTTTTAATAATCTAAGTTAAATAACATTGCTATTTATTGAGCCAAAACTTGAGTGTCCTTGTTATTTCTATTCCAGAAGAGCTTAAGGGTAGGGAAAGTCTAGTTTTCTTGCTGTTCGAAATAGTTTTCAAAAATAATCTGACTCATAAATCTTCTCATTGGTCCATACATTTCCATTGTTCTATATCCACATTTACAAAAGTCAGCTTCCCCTGGTAATCATTCTACATTCCTATTACTTCTCTTAAGAAAACCAAAGCATCATCTATAGCTATATTTTAACTTTCTCAGTAACTACTCTTAACACGTATCACACACACACGGTGGGCAGTTAGATAAGAGAAGCAATGTAAAATTTCTTTTAGTCTGTTCCCTGATTTACTAGGGCCTAAGACGCTACCTTTATCTCTTTTTGGCTCCAAGTATTTGGTTTAATGTCAATGATCATGGCTAGTATTCCTTTTATGGAGGGAGGGAACTTAATTATGTCAGCAATAATTGGTTCACTTCTTTCTTTGGGGTGGAAAAGATAAGATACTTCTTAAAGTAACAGGGCTAGAATAAATGTGTGGTAGTCTCAAATTCTGTTCTACATTTAAGGTGTAATCCTTACAGACTGAGGTTAGTGGGGTCATTTTTATATATTTCTAGCAGACTGGTATAGTAAAAAGTGAGACTATTTGGGGTATGACAGTGTAGAGAAAACAGAAAGGTAAAATTCGAGAGAAGAATTAAGTTAAACAGTGAACTTAATGTGAAATATTAATCACAAGTACAATATATTGTAGAGCAGTCTTCATGACAAAGAATCATAATTTGTCTATTAAAATTCCCAAGAGGATAAAAGGGAGAAAATTCTCAGACTTTTTTCAGTCATTTATACCTCTCAAAAAACTTCCATTAAAATATTGCTTTTTCAATATTATGTTTTTCCCTTCTATGGTGAGGTGGTTGAGCACAAACTTCCTTTAATATCTATTGACCAGCCCCCCCACCCCAAACATAGGTTATCATGTGTCAATTGTGTTTTGTTTCTGACAAAGGAATAGGCCCACACAGTTATCCTAAGTATTCATTATATATAGTCCTCATGTAACTGTGCTTAATCGTCTTATGGAAAAGAAAATCATTACAATAAATGTAGTTTCCACACGTCCCAGTTCTGTGTAATGTCAAGTGTCTCGTAGAGTTCAGGTTTTGGTGAAAATTTTTGTACATGCTGATGTTAAGTACTGCACTGAATTTAGCACTGTAAAAGGTAAAATAACCTCTGACTTTGACCGTCCCAGTGACAAAATGCACTTTAATCTCAGAATAATCAAAACTGAAGCATTAACTGAACCCTCATCTTATATTTAAATAGGTATTAATAGCACCTTCTAAGAGAGGCACTGTTTTAAATAGGCACAGAACAAAAAAAAGGTATGTTAGAAGTACTGCTGGAATTCACAAATATATCCCATGCCATGTAAATTACTGCTTATTATAAAAATACCAATACCCTTAGATGCCAATCAGTTAAACAAGTCACTAAAAACATTTCTTAAGTTTAGAACACCGCTCGATTCCAAGATAAACCATGCTTTCTATTTATAAAATAAATTAGAGATGAATGTGAACCTAAAGCTGAGGAGAAAAGCATGGATGGTATATATATATTTAATACTATATACACATAATTGCTATATACTTAAGATATTGTATTCTTAGGAGTATTTCTACAAAAACAAGTATTACCTTTCCTGAATAAGTCAAAAATCTGAACACCAACACTTTGTCCTTTTTCTTTTAAAAAGAACAGACACCATTTATGCAGCTTGAGATTTAAAACTAAATTAAATAAGTTGATAATATAGTCTAAACTGTCCCTGTATTTTTCACTATGGATCTATTTGGCAACATGGAGGTATATCTTTTAAACTGTTACAGGTCCTACGTGTGAAAGAGAAGACTTTAAAGGATTTCTTAATTGAAAGTGCTCACTCTAACCTGATGCTGAAAGAATCAATGATAACATTTTCTTCAAGACAAAAGTATATATTCAAGGAATAGCTCAAAAATGCTCAATTTTTCACATTTCAAAACTTTATAGGTAGAATGGCTCTGCACATTAACTTCACTAAGAGTACATAAACATAGGAAAATAGTCCCCAAAAGATGCATTTATGAGACTATATTTTTCAACATAAAGTGCTAAGATATGAGTAGGGAGAACTGGGAATGTCTTGGGCTGTAAGTCTTGAGACCTCCACACCATGGTTGGTCCTGGAGTTCAGCATTCTGATTTTCTCTTAGGTTCAGGATGATCGTCCAAGGTGGCTGGATGCTCATTTAGCCCCTCTGGTGTCTCACCTGTGACAGCTAAAAAGATGATTTTCAGCCACTTCTGCTTCAGTTCCTCACTGTCTGCAGCAAAGCTGTGCACAGACTTGGACTGGGTCAGTTTGAAACTGTGTGGCAGGTCTGCACTCCGTGGCATGTCGTCCACAACATAGCCCAGGAGCGGAATGGTGGCCTGGGCTCTGACGTCCTAAGGAAAAACCATTGGACATAAGAGCATGAGCTGTATTAGTTTTGCTGCATGTGGCCCTTCCTCCTAATAAACCTCTGTTCCTCCTCCTGCCTCATACAGGTGAGCTCTCCGTGGGCAGAGAGGAATTGCAGTGCTTAGCCCAGGGCCTGTACATGAGGCCCCTGATAATGTCGACTGAATGAATGAGAGCCGACACCCAAGTCAGGCTCACCGACACTACACCTTCTTTCTGCGAGGCAGCCCATTCGACTCTCCATTCAGTGAAAAAAGAAAGAAAATAGCCATCTTATTGCCTTAAACCAGCAAGCATTTATGATGATTTCACTACTAAAGCCTGACTTATTTATTCATCAATTGATTTATGGACAGGGAAAAAGTTTTAGGAAAAACAATGAAACAGAATAAAATGTATATCTTGGCATTTTTAGTCTATTTCTAAAATAAAATAACTTTACTAGCCCTTAATGTAAACATATATTTTAAGGGCGAATTCATACTTGGTTTAAGTGTTATACATTCCATTTTTTTTTTTAAGCACAACACAATCCATATTTCCTGGTGCTGTTCTTACTAGAAGCTAAACCTGTATTTCTGTTATTCCCATAGATTTATCTCTGATCCATACACACACGGTTCCCAAAAAACTGTTACTGAATGGTAATCAAGATTGATTTAAATTCCCTCTTCCTCGAATATCCATTAAGGCAAAAACAAACAAAATTAAAAAGTCTTTTCTTAATATTTTCTATCATTAAAAGGTTTGTTCTCCCCTCTTGCTTCAACCTCCTTTCTCCTCATGCTCATTCCTAATTCAACTCACCTTTTTTCAAACCCACTGAATAAAAAAGGTTAGAGAATGAGAAGGGGACAGATGACCCACAGGTTGCAGAAAATACTAGCTACAAAATGTATTGATCATCTTAAACGACAAACTTGAATTTAATTTCAATTTTAAAGAAACACAGTGAAACTGCCTGAGTTCTCTCGTTCTAGAGGGGAGCAGTGGAAGGATGTTGAGTTTACTGACTACCCCCCTCCTCCGCCCCTGAGGGCAGTGGTCCCTTCAGACACATGTGCTGTAGATACCTGAGGGGCACCGTACATGTACAGCACAAGAGGGTCTTGCTTGGGGATGACACACCAAGCTTTCTGCCAAGGTTTTGACTTCTCCATATACTGAAGAAAGCTGCACACCACACTGTTTCCAGAGACTTCTGCCGATTCAATCTAGAAAAATACAATGGAGAGAAAGCAAGAGAGAATGAACACACAATGAACCAGAGAGAGAAGTAACTAGACTGAAGGGAAATATTCACAAAGTACAATGTGTTTAGATAAAATGTCTCTTTGGAGTGTCCAAAAAAGATTCATTTGCAAATTGCTGTTTAAACACCATCACTAACATGGAAAAATATTTAAGTCAATTTTAACTCTATTTACATTCAAAATCTAGTAATATAAAGAGTTAAACATCTGGCTGGGCGCGGTGGCTCGCGCCTGTAGTCCTAGCTCTCTGGGAGGCCGAGGCGGGCGGATTGTTTGAGCTCAGGAGTTCGAGACCAGCCTGAGCAACAGCGAGACCCCGTCTCTACTGAAATTAGAAAGAAATTAATCGGACAACTAAAAACATATAGAAAAAATTAGCCGGGCATGGTGGCGCATGCCTGGAGTCCCAGCTACTTGGGAGGCTGAGGCAGGAGGATCGCTTGAGCCCAGGAGTTTGAGGTTGCTGTGAGCTAGGATGACGCCACGGCACTCTAGCCCGGAAAAAAAAAAAAAAAAAAAAGAGTTAAACATCTACTGACTGCTACTATGTAGGCACTTTTCTTAGCGATATATGTATTATTTCATTTAATCCTTACACCAACATGGATAAGTTTGTACTTTCAGTATCTCTGAGGCTCAGAGTTCAAGTAGCTTTCTCAAGATCATACTTTTAAGAATTGACATGCTGGGATTTGAACTTTAACAGTCTGGATCCAGAGCCTGAACTTTTTTTTTTTTTTTTTTGAGACAGAGTCTCACTTTGTCAACCTGGGTAGAGTGCCGTGGCGTCAGCCTAGCTCACAACAACTCAAACTCCTGGGCTCAAGGGATCCTCCTGCCTCAGCCTTCCAGAGTACTAGGATTATAGGTGTGAGCCACCACACCCGGCCTAGAGCCTCAACTTTCAACCACGATGCCATACCTACTTCAACTGTGCAAGACTGTAACAGCAAAAAGGAAACACCAGCCAGCAATCTTTATCCTAGTACCTGAGATAATAAAACTTTTCTTGCAATAAATTTTCTATAGAGTTGTTTATAGCTTTCGGCTTTGTCTCTTAATACATAAATCATTGGCTAAAAAGGGAACAAAACCATTACAGTAAATGATGGCTTTTACTATTTACATTATGGAAAGTAATTGGTTTGCAGTAACTTCTATTTTCTGTCTCTGAAACCCTTAGGGTAGTACTCAGCATTGCCCAGGCTGGCTTGCAAACTGTTAGGTAAGGAAAAAAAAATTTTTCTAGTGTGGCAGTCAATGTGTTAAATACTCAGAGAAATAACAAAATATTACTTGTATTCCTCATGGCTAAGAGAATTCTATGTTCCTGTATAAAAGTCTAAAATATCTAACATTTAATATTTCATACCTCTAAAATTCCTTTCCTTTTCTTTTCTTCACTGTCTGTGAATCCACTTATTATTTGGTAACAGTCTTTACAAACTTTGCTTAATTTACCACCATCATATTCAAGTTGAGCTTTGTAGTCAGAACACTTCCAACAAACCACCTTAAATTTAAAAAGAAAAATGAAGAGTGAACAATCATAAAGGGTAAGACTTAAGCAGTAATTAGTTATAGGTACTGATTAATGAGAGAAAGTTAAATGTAAAAGGCAGATTTTTATCAGACTGAGAAAATCCCCGTAAACATTAGGAATATGTATCAAGGTGTTGTAATGCTGTTTGTGATGGGTCCTGCTCACTCATCCCTCTCTCTTCCTGGCCTTCAAAAGTAGAAGATCCTCAAAGGCTTGGTCCAGACCTTTACTCTTTATACTTCTGGGTATTTCATCAATATCCTCGCAAACTGAACTCACATTCTTCCTGCCCTCAGCTCCGTCCTTACCCGACCCCACACGCTCCTCCCCACTGCCGGAAATGGCACAGTCATCTAACCGGTCCCCGAAAGTCAGATACACCTGAGTCATTCCCAGCACCGCTTTCTATCTCACCCTAAAGATTCACCGTATTACAAAATCTTGCTGATTTTACCTCCTAAATATATCTTCAATCTATTTTTCTGTCTTCCTTATAATCACCTAAGTCCAACTATCAATGTCCTAGTTTGGCCTACTTTCCTAGCCTCATGACCAGTCCTTATAATAGTCTTACTGGCTCCCACATCCCCATTCTTACGTCCCCCTCCCCAAGCTATTTTCCAAACAGCAACTAGACGCCCTTTTAAAAATGCTAATCTGATATGTTCCCTCCTCTGTTTAAAATCATTCAGTCTTCCTTTGCTCTTGGGTAAAGAACCAATTCTTAATTGTGGCCTACCAAGTCCTGCATAATTTGCCCTTCTTACCCTCTGGATCTGTGTCTTCAGTGACACTGGTTTCTTACATCACCAAAAGGCCATGCTCCCTTCCACTCTCATTTCTGCTTCAGTGAGTTAACTTTTGCTCATTCTTCCGACGTTGACTCAAATTTCACTTCCTCAAGGAAGACTCCTCTAATACTTCCAGAATAGAGAACATCTCCTGTCACTATGCCACTAAAGTTCCTTGTACTTACATTCATAGCACTAATTACAGTTGTTTTATTTTCTTAAGAGACAGGGTCTTGCTCTGTCACGCAGACTAGAGTGCAGTGGTGTGATCATGGCTCACTGCAGCCTCAAAGTCCTGGGCTCAAATCATCCTCTCAACTCTGGCTGGGACCACAGGCTCGCACCACCACGCCTGGCTAATTTTTAAATTTTTTTGTAGAGACAGGGTCTCACTATGTTGCTCAGGCTGATCTCGAACTCCTGGCCTCCAGCCATCCTCTTGCCTCAGCCTCCCAAATGCTGGGATAATAGGCCTAAGCCACCACATGTGATCTCATGACAGTTTTTAACTATATACTTGTGTGATTATTTGATTGTTTGTCTCCCTTACTAGGCTGTAAACTTCAGGAGAGACTGTCCTTGAATATTCTGCTCACCAGGTACACAATAAACACTGACACAATGAAAATGTGTATAATTTCTTAGTGAATGATGTAATTTTTTTTTTGAGACAGGGTTTTTACCCTGTTGCCCAGATTGGAGTGCCATGGCACAATCACAGCTCACTGCAATCTCTAACTCCCGGGGTCAAGTGATCCTCCTGCCTCAGCCTCCCGACTAAGTAGGACTACAGGCACATGTCACCACACCCAGCTATTAATAATTTTTAAATTTTTTATAGAGGCAAGGTGTTGCTATGCTGTCTCAAACTCCTGGCCTCCAACGATCTTCCTGCCTCGGCCTCCCAAAGTGCTAGGATTACAGGCCTTGTTAGAGAAAATGAGGCCACCACACCCAGCCTGCCTCCCTTCTTATAATTAGCTCTTTCTCACCTTTTAGGTATTAGGTTAAATATCAACCTCCCAGATAGGTCTTTTTTATTTTCTATCTAAAATTGGTTCCAAATCTTTCTCCATTACCAACACTTTCCATTTTAACTTCTTGATTGCTTTTATTCTATCTATAGTAATATGAAATTCTTATTTGTCTATTTTCTCCATTACAATGTAAGCTCTGTGAAGCTAGGGATCATTTTGTTTATCATTTTTTCTATAGGGCCCAACATGGTGCTTGGCACAGAATTGGCACCAAAATAAGTTCATTAAGTTTTTTGTTAAAGGATTTTTTTTTTGTCTTTTTCCAAGTTGATGCTTTTCCCTATTATACAGTTACTAGCAGCAACCTTAATGATCAAGCAATCTCGCTTACATGTCCACATGCTCGACAATGATGCCGTCTCCGTGTCAGTGCATTGAAAGATTCTTTGCATTTCATACACATTGTCACTTCATTATCTCGGATCCATCTTGGGGCTCTTTTCCCTAGCTCAGCAGTCTAAAAAGGAAAGACTGATTCATTTTAACAGAAAAAAACAACTTCTCTTTTATTGTTATTTTTTTAAAAGCACTTTAACAACTTTGTTCAAAGCACATTTTGAAACTCAAGGAAAAGAAATGAAAGGTTCATAGAAGTTTAAGCAGTAGGAAAAGGCACTCAACTATTGTAGTCATTTAAGAAGGAATGAGATTCTGGCTAAACAGCCAGTTCTGACATTGTAAAGAAAAAAGGCTGGATAACAAAATGATGACACAGAAATTCTGCAACTGCAAAGAGATAAAAGGGTTTAAAGTTAAGAATTTAATTCAACTTACAGAAACCTCTGAGTGAATGTCATTATCTTTTGCAATTGCATTTCTGAAGGTTTCATGCCTTTGATGAAAAGCATCAATGGTCTCTTGAAGGGCCTAAAAGTTAAATTCAAAGCACATACTAAGTTTCACCTGCAAATTATTGAATATACTTTACCAAACAAATATCTATGATAGGAATCACCTTAAAAAATAAAGAATTTGTTCTAATGACTGTATATCAAACCAACACATCAATATGTACACATTTGTGTATACATAGAAAGGTTACCAAAAGAGTTAAAATAGAAATCAGGCTTACCTTGATCCATTCTTCTTTGTCTTGCTCAGAACTAAAACAAAACAAAATTAAAGTGAATACAGAGAACATTAATGAATTACACCTGGTGAGTAAAACTATGGTTTATTGTTGTTCCAACTTTTCAGAAAATTCAGGGATGTCCTGGAAGAAATTACAATCAAAATTAAACAGAATTTCTGAGAAATGAACAAATTCTTAAACAGAGGTTCAAACTATCCACTGACTCTTGTACAGATAAATTCTGACAGGGAGAGTCACGTTTAGCTTCTATTAATATAATGCCCCGACACAAGTTTAATAACCACCATCTGGTTCTACATATCAGGCGACTCTGTATATCTAGCATTATACTGGATATGTAACAGCTAATCTTCCAATTTTCTAAAACACATGAAGGCTATTAAAAGCAACTAGCTACAGCCCATCTTAGAAAAGATTATAATTATCCTTGAGAATCTAAAATATCTCTGTAAAGCCTTAGAGAGCTATTTAACATTTCCTTTGATAAACAATTTTATTTTCCTATTCCTAGGAGGCCTCAAGCAATACCATACCTAACCTATTATAGATAAAGCAAAGCATATAAAAATTTTAAATGCTGCCAAAAGGGGTTTCACAGATTAATGGACCCCAGTGATTAGTAATTCTTATGGAAAAAATTTCCTTGACTGTAATCAAGTTCTCTTTTTTCTGTTAAGGCAATTTTTATTTCCTTATGTAGCCAGCTTCTGTCATATACCATATTTGAAAAATCCCTGTTAGTAGACTATGCACTGGGTAAGATCTCCAAATTGAAGGATTTTGACAAGTATCAAGGAGTGGGCTCTGTTTGTTTGCATGTGTTTGGTAGGCTGGGGCTAAGTTTGAGTTCTGGCCTGAATGTCACCTGCCTCATTCCCATCGGTATGAAATATGCATGAGACTGGTCAGAGGTTTGTTCCTATGACAAAAATCACCTTTCCAGCAAATTGATTTCTGGGCACCATTGTGTGCCAGGAATGTTGTTGGAATCTATGTCTGTCAAGTGGAAGCTTCTACTTATTGTCCACCTGGGGCTTCAATCTTGCCCTTCAAAAAAATTTCTCTACATTGCTTTGCAGTGCCTTGCCCTTCTGGCTCTGTTGCCCTGGGATCGTGGTTATCTGCTAGCTGCTTTTTTTTTTTTGAGACAGAGTCTCACACTGTTGCCCAGGCTAGAGTGCCGTGGCGTCAGCCGAGCTCACAGCAACCTCATACTCTTGGGCTCAAGCGATCCTCCTGCCTCAGCCTCCCAAGTAGCTGGGACTCCAGGCATGTGCCACCATGCCCGGCTACTTTTTCTATTTTTAGTAGAGACGGGGTCTCGCTCTTGCTCAGGCTGGTCTTGAACTCCTGAGCTCAAACGATCCGCCCACCTCGGCCTCCCAGAGTGCTAGGATTACAGGCATGAGCCACCATGCCAGGTCCTTGCTAGCTGCTTTTACCCTTTCAGATGCAAAGAAACCTGACAAGTCTTTAATGCTTTTTGTTTTACTTTTTTAGTTATGGTAGAGTTTTTTGTTGTTTTTTTTTTTTTTTTACTTTATTACTAGATTTTAATTTCTACTTAGAAATAGAAAACCATAACAGTATTCTGCATATAAAACAGAATGCCTTTTATCCTTTTCAGTGTGGAAGAAGCAGCACAAATGTAAGAGGTCAGTCTTGAGGCTGACACATGCCTTAGCAAGAAAAATGGAACCCTTTTTTCCTAGTTGGCTTCAGAAACAAACACTCTTTAATCATCTCCAAACACACACCCAATTTTTGGTTCCACATAATCCCTCTGACACTGTGACTTTCTTGGAACTCCAATGTTTGTCTCCATTCTTGAGAGAACCATTATAGACCAGATGGAAAGTAATCACTTAATTCAGATCTTCAATATCACCATATAGTCATAAATGTAACTAGAGCAATGAGATTAGGGGAGTAAGAAATTTAAGGAAGAATGCCATGTTTCCAATACTAATTGGAATGTATCCCAATACTGTGTATTAGAATGTTATGAAGTGATGACTGCCCGTACTTAAGAAAATTCCTCACTAGTCAGCCCCATCCTACAAAGAAAACAGCCTAACCCACTAATAGAGGATTTAAGTCTCTGTTTAAGCAAACCAAGAAATCTTAGAAATATCTCCCCTGCTGTTGCACACATCTCTTGAGCTTGCAGATTTGGAAGTATGCTGAAATTTCAGCAGCACTTCATTCCTGCAATGAAGATTCCTATGATGCTCACAACGATGGGTGAGCATTCCCTGTTGTCAGCGTCAATAACTTAGTGAATCAACCATGCAGTGAGGACTCATGCCAGGAGCCTTCACAAAATCATACATTCTTTCTCTGGGTTTGAGGGGCTGGGGCCCAAAGCCCACCATGATAAGGCAGGAAAACCATTACGTTCAAAGCCAAATCTATTACCTTTATAATTCAAGCTTGAAATGCTATCTGCTAATCTTCAAAGCAGTCCCCTGGCTGCACCTTAAGTTATGGGAGGTTCAGTATATATTCTCTGTAGGAAGTCAAAGACCTGGCCGTTTCTTTAAACTTTCCCAGCCTGCCATACCTTCTGACAAATGTAAACTTAACAGTTTCCAAACTCCGTGGGCACAGATTCCTGTTAAAATGCTTTATTCTCTTTTGAAAGTCTGAAGTTTAAGCTCTCGGGCATTTACTAAGTACAAATGTCCAGGATGAATTCACTTGAGTAGCCAGAACCACATGCTATTGGTACAAAGGAACAGAAGGACACCCTACCTCTCCATGGATTCTAGGATAGCAACACTGACTAGAGCAGAAATTGGTACTTAACTCTCTGATCTATGACCTTGTGGAGTATCTAAATTTTGACCATGCTAGGCTTTCCTTTGCATGATAAATGCACAACTGTCTTCTAAAGTAGATATTTCAAAACCTGACAGCATCCTGTCTTCCAGAGGTTCACGCATGAGGGAGCTGTGATCTACTGCAGTGGTTCTCATGTGTCTCCCTCCCCACCCCAAAACATAGTTATGGTTAAGGGAAGTTGTTAGCCAGCCCTTTCTTGCCCACTCAGTAAAACATGTAACAACAGCCATACTTTCCAGAAGTCCTGGCTGCCAGAGGCCACTTGAAACCCAAATGGCTCCCTTCATGTATCCTCCACCTGTGGCCAGAGAAGCATGACCTTTGCCAACCTGCCTCCTATGAAGATTTCTCTCAAATGCACATAGGTCCAAGAATGCACAGCCTCTGAAGGACTCATAATTTAACATGGAAGAATAAGCATTAATAAATATTTGTGCACCAAAAGGAGAGATGGAAGGAATGATTAGAAGAGAACTTTTTCCTGCAAGTCTCAAGATTGTGGCTTGATTGCAACAACTTCATCTTCTCAGGACCCTGTATTTCTGAAGAGTCAATCAATTTATTGAATGTTTACTGTGTGTGCACAAACTGTTGTCTCAGGCACTGTGGAGGAATCAAGAGAGAGGAAGACATGATGCCTGCCTTTCAAGAGCTCACAGTTCTCCATTTATATCCAACCAGATCCCCAGAGATCTGTAGCATTCATTTGGAGAAAAACCCTCAGAACCATTCAGTCCTATGATTCATTCTGATGTTTTTGGAAAGCTGTGTGATAAGAATGGCTCTCTTACCTGGCCTGGAGTTCCAATGTTCTCTCCTTCCCAGATACCTGGAAAGTATGTGGATATTCTTCATTGTGAGTCTCTACAATTTTCATCCCATCGATGCCAACCCTGGTTCGAACTGTAAATTTAGAGCCCACCAAGCTGAATCTGGGCACACAGTACAGCAACATGTTGTTGAACTGCAAGGAGGCAGAACACACAACAATAAACAGGAAAATAACAAAGTGATCAATTTTAAAAGTAGTCCTGGACAAAAATCCTGAGAAATTTCTAGGGAATATGGTACTTCCTGCATGAGCAAAATTATTTACTACTACATTGAGATTTTATGCTTATATCAATAATCATATTCTTAAATTTTTAAAAATATATTTCCCTTTCATGGTTCATAAATTTTGTATTATTGCTTTAAGGAAATTAGATCAATAAATTCAGTAACAATTAAGGATCTTCTGTATATTAGAAACTTAAGTTCTTAACTTAAGTTAAAGGCCTTATACACCAGAATTTCTAGTTGTTATGTCTTAGAGGGCAAGTCTCAAATAGTTATTAGAAGAAAATATTTATATTTAGCAGTTATTTTTTACCAGAGTGTTTAATGTTAAGTTTTTTAAAATAGCCAATTTATTAGTTTAATTTTATTAGAATGTGGGGTTTGGACACTAAACTCCATTAAAAAGTAAGTCACATGGCCAAGATCCCTGTTTTATACTGGATCACACAATGCTGTACAACTGTATAATGAATCCTTGAATTTTGCTTAAGAATTTACCACATATGAATTTACTGAAAAGCCATCGGTTTTATCAAGGTCTTTAAAGATAGAGCCTTATTCTTTATAACATCTATGTTAAAAATAACATTATTTTGAAACTGAATCAAATTATGTACAGTGCCTCATTTCCAGTCAATAATAGCCCTTGCTAAACAGGACCATGAAAAATGTTAGACGGCTGACGTCATACGATCTCACTTTCAGTGACTTTGTGAAAGCATTTCATTCACTTTTGAGTATGTTAAAACATGCAAAGAAATGAAACTCTAAATATTTGGGTTAATTTGTGGGCAGATTCCTTAGAGAAGGCCCATTCTTATTTTCGTACTTCATATTTATTATGTCTTAGGTTGTTTCTAGGGTTACATATATTTTTCTAAGACAAGAGCAATTAAAGAGTAAAAAAAAATTATCTTTTAAAATTTACTATCCTAACAGCACGTGCTCTAAATTCAATATCATTTTTATTTTGCTTGCTTCAGCAAAGTTTCTCAATTTGTTAATTTTTCAAATTTTCTCTAAGATTTTACTTTAAGTGGGATTTCAGCTGAGTACGATATGGTAGTGTAACTCTGAGGCCAGACAGAGCATTCAGGCCTCCGCTCTACTGCTTATCAGCTGTGTAAATACTCATGCCTCGGGATCATTACCTGTAAAGTCACGAGTTGCTGAGAATATATGAGGAAGCAAATGTGAAGTGTTTAGAATAATGCTTCGCACATACTAAGTGCTCAAATTCAACACGTCTTCTCAGTTTATTCTCTTTTGGGATTTAAGTCTAGACTATTCCTGCTAGGCCCTCTGTTTGGCTTCACACTGCCATGACGACAAGAAATATCGATGGGTGCATAAAACATTCCAACATGTTTATGGGACACAGCCTGTTGCATTCATTCTGAGAGTAAATGCTTCACCAGTTGTTTCTCATATATCATTTTGTAACTTCCTGTAACCAGTGTCATACGTTTCAGTTCCACACTGGAGAATGTAGAAATAAAAGCCTACATACATTTTAGATATATCCAGTATCACAATTCACATTTACATTGCTATTAATAGAAAAGGACCTATGCCTTTATCATTAACTGTCCACTGGATTTAAGTGCAGCAATCACAGCCTCATTGTAGCACACAGATTCCAGAGATTCGGAAAAACTCTGAAAGCTTTTCATCACCATCCATATCATAGTTTGACCAAGGCACCAGCTTGCTTGCTAACTCTTCGTGTTAACATTTCTTTCCCTCTTTATCTAGGTCTTCTCAGGAAGAGATGGGGTCAAGGCTGTGCATGTTACAGGAGCTGCAAAGCTACCTCCACAAGGATAGAGCTCACACGTTCAAGCCATCAACAATAACCGAATTATTTCTGCAAACTGACTGACAAATGTACTGTTACGGCATTACATTTCTGAGTTATCTGATACTTGTGCTCCAGTTGGCTTTATCAAGTTCAGCAAAGTCATATTATTTTCTAGAGACACAAGTCTGCGAATATGAAGGTTCTTAGCATTTGCTTTTGGTAGTTATGCTCATATAAGATGACAGATTATCTTACAAATATGTATGTTTCTGTCTGCCCTTCCTGCTTTCAGGACTACATTCCCTGTATTATATTCTAAGTAGAACTTCATGTTCTAAATTGTCAATAACTGTATATTAATTTTACACAATTTTGATCACAATCTAATGGTAGTCAACAAATATCTTTTTCTTCTTTGTACAGGTGAAAGTGAGAACTTTTGCAGGATTTAAAAAATTGCTTACAAAGGAGACACCATATATGTGAAGAAATCAGGTAGCTAGTCTTGTTCCCTCTGTGAGTCTTGGTCCTATAGCAAAAGCCACCATCACCTTTCACAAAGAGAATTAGTTCTCTCTGGGTTTCCCCTAGTACTGAAAGAAGTTATAGCAACTATAGCATGGAGTACATCGACTTTCCCTTTCAGTGCAGAAGATTCCCTTTCTTTCCACACCCACAGCTCAGAAGTAGTGATCAATAAAGCAATCTCAGACTGGCGAGGCAATTTGTAGAAGTCCTTGGTTGTGACAAAACCTAGAAGCAAGTCTCAACCTTATTGAAAATGTAGGGAGAGTCCCTTTTCTTGATCTCCAGTGTTCTTTAAGTATTTATTTCAAGTCTCTTAAAATATACTTATTTGACTGAAATAATGCAATTTCATGTTCTCAGCAGTGACAACTTCATTAATATTTATTTTAAAAGATAGTAATATATTGTTGCAGAAAATTTCCAGTGCCTGGTCTGTGTTTAAAGTTTAAATAAGGGAAAAAAATCTGAATCTATCAAGCTACAAGGAAATAAGGAACAAAACAACTCCAACAAGTTAAGAATAAAAACTCAGGTCATTCTATGGGATAATTTGGTGATTTTAAAAAAAAGTTCAGATGTTAGATATGGTTAGTCAGTTAATAGAATACCTTAGAAAACAGCATGGTTTGAATGTGTCCCGGAAAAAGCATGTGTTGGGAACTTAATCCTTAATGTAAGTGTTAGAAGGTGTACCCTAATGGGAGGTGTTTAGGTGAGAGGCTTTACTAATCCATGAATGGATTAATGGCTATTATGAAAGTGCTTCAGGCTGTGAATTCAATTTCTTGGTCTCTCGCCAAGTGATGCTTTCTGCCATGGGATGATACAGCAAGAAGGCCCTCACCAGATTCCAGCCCCTCAGTCTTGGACTTTCCAGCATCCAGAATTGTAAGAAATAAATCCCTGTTCTTTATAAATTACTCAGTCTCAGGTATTCCATTATAGGAGCACAAAACGGACTAAGATGGTACCCGAATTGATTTTAAAAAGGGAGAAAGTGCAGTGTGGAGGCAAGCCAATACACAAACACAGGAGGATCACTGATTCTAAATATAATTTGCCTTTTGACACAAACGTACTATCCCAAGAGTAGGAAATAGAAAGGTAGCTCTCATTTTCCTTCTAGAGAGAAAAGAAAAGAAAAATGGTACTTCTGAAGTTTCTACATATAAGAGAACAAGATGCTCCATGGGAATAAAAGTGTGCTGGCAAGAGAAGAGAATCTGTGACAGGTACAATACTGGAGAGGGTGGATTAAAAGAATGAACGCTACACTGGGTCTTCAAAAGATGAATGTGACTTTCCTACAACGCCTGCCACATGACCCCATTCTCCTGGCAGGCAAGGGCTCGATATGTTTGATAGCTTAAAGTAAGTGGAAAAGATGGGTCTTTTCCTCAAAGTTACCAGCTGTCATGTTCTTCCCCCAAGCGTTCTTCACCATCTGCCCTCCCAAGAGCTGCTTAATTTGGCTCGCATCAAGACATAAAATTATTTCCAAAATAATTCCCAAACGTGACAATTAAACCAAGGCAGTTGGTTAGACACAGAGCTAAAAGTTTAACTACAGAGACTGTAACGCTAATGAGGAAGAGAGGAAAGGAGAATCAGCCATGCACCTAAAAGGTAAAGACAGAGGGAAGACACTGACTCCCAGGGATTTTGCCCAGAATAGTGTATTAAGCACAGCTTTTTATTCTGTATTTTTGATGCTTTGACACCTTAAGGCCTTGCTGACACTGAAGAGACTGCCCCTTCCAAGAGTACCTAATTCTTAGGGATAGTAAACTACTCACCTTTCATGTGGAAACCAACCAATCCAGAGCCCACACCCTCAACCACCGCTTTTATCCAGCTCTTACTCTCTAGGGCCACTATTTCCCTGCTCTAATCACCCCCGGGCCAGGACAACAACCCCTATGCCCCAGAGCCCAGAGAAATATTTAAACGGCCAGTCCTAAGCCTGTCACTCTGTCTCTCCCATTCCTTCCTGTGGAAACCATGATGAAGGCTCTTGCCCACATTTTCTGCATGTTCCCCTGTTGCCCTCCCGCCTCTTGGGATCTGTCTTTTCAATGGCAATTGTCTCCTGAACTGTTGGCCTTGCCATACCTGAGCAATAAAACCTATATTTTACAATAGATCTCTGGAAAGAACTCAGAACCCTGATACCTTGTTTTCTGTTTGGCTCACTGTACAAGCTGTGAATGATAAAATATTTGTTTAGCTCAAATAATTCCAAACATGTTATGACATATTAAGAAATCTTGTACCCACTTCCTCCTCCCCAACAGCCCTAGGCAGCCACTAATGACATCCTATCTTTGTACATTTACCTATTCTGGACATTTTATGTAAATGGAATCATACAGCATGTAGCCTTTTGTGACTGGCTTCATTCACTTGGCACAATGTTTTCAAGCTTCACCCATGTACATGCATCAGTATTTTCTTTTTATTGATACGTAATATTCCATTGTATGGATATACCATATCTTGTTTACCGATTCATCAGCTGATGGACATTTAGGTGGTTTCTACTTTTTGACTATTACAAATAATGCTGCTGTGGACAATGATGTCCAGGTTTTTGTGTGGACATGTTTCAATTTTCTTGAGTTATACAAACTTGGAGTAGAACTGCTGGGTCATATGGTAACCAAATGTTCTTTTAAAAAAAAGATTGAGAGATACTGAATACCCCTCTGCATGACAATTAGTTTCTATAAATTTTCCTTTCATGGGAGGCTGGAAATAGACAACAAAAACCTAAGCTCCGAATGACAACTCCTGCGATGGCTGGTGAGATGACTGCCTTGTGGCAGAAAAAGACGGGAATAACATTCTGAGCTAGTCGCTAGGCAGCCTCTTTACCAACGTGTCTTTGTTCCTTGCCTTTAGTAACAATCATGACAACGGCTAACATTTATTGAACTATTATTCAATGTTAGCTTACTCTTTGTCAATGCTAGCTATTATTATGATTCTTATCATCTTATTATAGAAAGGAATTGAAATTCATTAGGTAACAAAGCATAAAGCTCGTGTGGACAGATAATAAAAAAAAACTAATGGCCTGGATGTTCCAGGGAGAGCTCTTACATTTGAGATAAATCCCAGACTAATTGTCATTTCCAGGAAGTGAAGGAAGGGACCAAGGACTGACTGCAGTGAAAAAGAACTATGTAGCTAACTCATGTACTTTTCCCATAGATATTTTAGACACAGGTCTCACAACCTTGTCTATGTATTTTTTTTAACCTAGAAAGATAAAAAATAGTGATGTAAAGAGGATTAAGAGGAGAATTGTCAGGAAATGCACATTCCCTTATACGGAATCCTGGCAGTGTTGATTAAACCAAGTTAGATTTCATTGCTTTGGTAAGCAAGTATCCTACCTTTCCAATATGTATGTGATAATTTTTATGAATTTTTCTTATGTTACTTGCTGACACTATACTACTCACTAAGAAAAGGTAGCGTTCTTGTGCTGATGTGTTCCGAGCAGCTAGTTTGAGGATCTGTCCTTCTTTTATTAGTTCATTTGAAGGGTTTACAATATCTTCTTCTTCTCCCAACATTTCATAAATCTCTAAGAGTTTCTTTAGGTTCTCCTAGGAAATTAAAACAAAACACAGTAAGATCAAATATAAGAAGGTTTCAATTTGGTGGCTTTAATAATATTATGACCTTAATTAAAATCTATACAATTCAGAAGGTTTTAAGAGTAAGCATATATTTTCGTATAAAATGCATCAGTTATCAGCAAGTTGAAACCTCTCAGAGAAGAGGGGAAAGGATTATTCTAGATAACACTAAACGTTTTATGAACATTCTTTTTTGTTTACCTATTTGAATTTACTTTGGTCCAAACCAACAGATAGTATTGGGCTTTATTTTTGACAACTGTCTAAGAAGGTTCCTGTCTCCTCTGAAAACCACTTACCATTTTTCTTATTGCACTATTAGAATGGCTTGCTGCTGTAGATATAATTTCAAGGGATTCTAAATGGGAAAAAAAGAAAAGTAAATAAATATACCTTGTCCTTCCTGTGCTACTATATAGCTCAATAACATTAAAGTAAGAAACTTGAGACCAAAGACACTACACAAAGTAACCGCAATTAGCATTTACAAACCGGATACTTTCAAAAGTTCATTTGTAAGCAGATTACTTGGAACTTAAAGGGTATTTCCTTATAAAAAGTCACAGGCTTATCTAGTCCATAATGTACCTTCAAAATTAACAAGCATTTACAGTGTACACTAATTTGATCCAAGGTACTTTGCCAGACACTTCCATAAAAATATCAATTCTTACACATCCCTAAATGGCATATCAGCTCCACTTGGCAGATGAAAGAAAAGGAGAAGTAATTTGATTTGGCTCAGGTCACACACCTGTGATACTGTGGGGCCAGATTTAAACTCAGGTCTTCTGATTCAAAGGTCTAAAACAAGTTAGCAGCAATAAGTATTTTACTAGTCTTATGAGCAAATTAACCACTCAACCAACATTCTTTAGGAAAATGCACTTGGTTCTAGCCCAGGTCAAGGAATCTTCTGAAGCCAGTGTTGGAGGGTTTTGTTGCTGGGGCAGGTGGTGGTGAGACATGGCAATGGGAACCCTTTGCTATGGACATCACAGGAGCGCCAGGAGCTGCTGGTGAAGAGCTACGGAAGCCGAGGCCTTCTGCTGGACCAACCCCAGGGAGTACCTCTCAGTCCTAAACAGGTCTTGTTTTCTTCCTTTATTTTTTGTCTTCTGCATACTGGCCTGCTTAATTCTGTTACCACAACAACCTCATCACTTTTGCACTACACTTTCTGTCTTCTTTGCACTGCCAAACAGAATGCACTTTTGTTGCTTTCCCCTCTACTTTTAGGGCACTAAAAGCCCTTCTGTGATTTCCTTAGAATTTTAGCATAAGTAGCAATGGGAAATCAAAACGAGTAATAAAATGCCCTACAATGTCACCAACTTTCTCATTTTTGACACAGGCATCTTGAGGGAAGACCAAGTCTTTAGGTATAGAAAACACTGAATTTTAATTTACATTTTAGAGAATTATTCTGATTTGAACAATTCTGTGCACTTGATACAGGATCCAGGATATACAAAGACAAAATAAGATGGGCTGGGGCCATGCTCAAGGGATGAGTCGGAGGAAGAGCAGTGGTGTTTCCCACCTCCACAGCCACCAGCACTCAGGCCAGCTGGGTGGAAAAGTGGGTTGAGGCCGAGTTCCTAGGAAGTGGTAGGCTAGGGAAAGATGGCAAGTCAGGTTCGTTCTCAGCTGTAGAAGGAGAAAGGAAGAAGAGAAGTTTCTGTGGTCACTGAGTCACTGGATGGTGGAAAAAACATATCAGACACCTTGTGTTCAAGCAAAGACTCAGGTTCCAAGACCAAAGATTATGTTTGGTGTTCCTCAACTCTGACCAAGATTCACTTGTAATAGAAGGCAAGAAATTATAAGGGAAAGTAGCAATGTTTTAAGACTATATGCCAGTATTGTTACTACTTGTTGAATATCAAGCACATTTCTTTTTTAAAAAATTTGTTTGTAGAAATAGGGGTCTCA